TCTTTCCCTCTCAGTCTCAAGAAGGTTCAGACTCCATTCGCCTGGACTTGGGAGTCAGGATTTCTGGTTCCAGTGCGCATCGCTTTACACATACCTACACTAAACATTTTCCATATTGTTGCCCACTCGCCCGATTTGTGGAGACCCTCCCTCCTGGACCTCTTCACAGTCAGCCTTGGTTTTAACTGTCCTAAATAACTTTGTGGGACAAAAAGGGGAGGGGAGAAACCGAACCTAGAAACCTGGGATCCAGAACCTGAAAAGGTTAGTCAAATAGAAAAGAGGGCCAACAATAAAAGCTTAATATATATAGTATATAAAAAGATGCGTGTATTTATTAACAAAGAATTTTAAAAATATATAAGGGCCCAATGTAAAAATACCAGAATCTAACACACGAGGGCCAATGGACTTGACCTGACGTGTTTTGGCCTGCGTAGGCCTTCTTCAGGGGGTCTGCCCTAATTCCAGGTGCTTTGTGACCCCAATGCTCTCTTCCCTCCTCCCTGAGAACTGCCCATTTATTTCTCCCTGTTTGCTTCCTGTCATTTAACCAGTTCTTAATCCATAGGAGAACCTGCCCTCTTATCCAAGGGCTGTTGAGCTTGGTGAGGCACCCTTCACTCAGCGTCTCAGAGCGGCTGACAAACTCCTTTCCCTTCCCCTCCCCACAACAGACACCCTTTGAGGTCGGTGGGGCTGAGACAGCTCTTGACAGAAACGGCTCTTTTTCAAGGACAGCTCTTGTCAGAACTACGGCTTGCCCAAGGTCATCCAGCAGGTGCAAGTGGAGGAGTGGGGAATCAAACCTGGTTCTCCCAGATTAGAGTCCGTGCACTTAACCACGACACCAAACTGGCTCCCTACTGTAGAAACTTTGTCCCCCCTGCCCCTCAATGCCTAACAATTCTGCCTTTGATTACAGCTTCTTCTTGGTGCCCGCCTGGTCTGTTTTTTGTGGCTGGGCTCCGTTTCCTGCCAGGCCGCCTGTAACTGCTTCTCCCCCCCCCTTCCCCCTTCCAGATGCTGGTGCAACTGGGGGAGGCCATGCACTGCCCCGTCTGCCGCATCGTGGTCCAGAAGAAGGGCGGCTGCGACTGGCTCCGCTGCCCCGTCTGCCAGACCGAGATCTGCTGGGTGACCAAAGGGCCCCGCTGGGGGCCAGGGGTGAGCATGCCGGGCGGGGGAGACCAGTTGGAGCAGAGGGCCAATCAGTGGGTGGCCAGAGGCCTCCCCACCCCCCCACCCCACTAGCCAAATTCTGCACCAGGAACAGGCTGGCACCAGTGTTCCCTCTAAACTGAGTCAGTGTTAACTAGTTCACAGTGTTTTAGCCTCCGGCTCACGCATTTTTCTCTTAGCTCAGAGCAAGCTATTTGATGCAGCAGCCAAGTCGCTCACTGACAACTTTAATGCCAGTTGCTCCCAGAGTAGGATTTTTGCTCACAAGACACCACAGCTTAGAGGGAACATTGGCTGGCACTGCAAGCCGCCCTGCCTCCCTGGCACAGGGCCTGCCCCTTTGCCAGCCTTGTCCGATGGTTCTGCGGCGAGTGGGTGCCGCGTTGCCCCCTCCTTGCTTGCCCCTTTATTTTTTTTCCTGTCTCATTTCTTGCCCGGAACGGCTGATTTCCTCCTCCTCTACATCTGAAGCTGCCTTATGAGACCCCCCCCCCCCCCGGGTTGGGGGGGGCCGGGGGGAGTGAGGCTCCCCGGGGTGTCGGGCGGAGGCTTGTCTGAGCGCCTGCCGCCTGCTCCTTTAAATAGCGGGGGGCTGAGCCCAGCCAGGCCTTCTGCACGCACAGTGGCAGCCGAGGGCCTGAGCCATGATCCCCGGAGGGGCTTGGGGGATTCACTGCCACAGCAGGGCACCAAGGAAACGTTTGTAGACATCGGAATCTCTTACTCCTTCCCGGGTCCTGTAGGTGTCGCCTGTACAGAGTGCTGGTTCGGCGTTTTTCTAAAAGCCTTGTTTATAGCCCAGCCCTGTGACTGGAAAGTTATACTTGGAAGGGCAGGGCCAGTGCCTGGTGAGGCTCGGGAGGGAGGGAGGGGGCGGGGCTCTGCATTGCAAAAGAAAAGTTGCACTTGAGAGGGTCGCAAGTGCAGTTTGTCTTGGCGTCAAATTCTGGCATGCCTCTCCAGCCAGGGGCATTGAGGCGAGAGAGGGAGCCATGCAGGAGGTGGCAGCAAACACTTCCTGAGGAAAGGGCTTCCCACCTGCCCAGCCTCGCCTCCTCGGCGCTGACCCATAGAGAGACCTGAAACTGGGGGCTGCTTTGTTAATTGCTGGCTGAACGTTTCATTTTCATCTCTTATTAGGATGCTTCATTTGGGTCTGTTAGCTGCCTTGGGTAGTTTCGAAGAGAACGGTGGGAAATACCATGTGAGACCAAACCATATCATAGCACAGGATGTAAGCTGTCAAGCTCTCCAAAATGTTCCTGCAGGCTGGATGTTATTGGGGGGAGGGTGTCCCCCTTTCAGATGGAGAACCTGAGAATTGACAGCTTCCTTCTCTGCGCAAGCCGGGTTCTTTTCAAGGCTGGGGAAGGACGTGTAAGGTTAACAGTCCTGACATGTAGAAAAGAGTCCAGTAGCACCTTAAAGACTTAACAAAATTTGTGGCAGAGTATGAGCTTCTGTGAGTCCCTGCTCACTTTTTCCAGTATCACTTTTCCTAATATCTCAGAGTGATTTCATATGCCGAATGACAATAGCAGGCATAATTGGATACTAGATGTGATAATGTAGAGAGGCAAGTAGGGGTGGAGAAATGAGCATTGGTAATGAGACGGGAAACCTAGGTCTCAGTTCAGTCCAGGAGGATTCACTGCCTTGCGCTTCATTATCAGTTGCAATTCCTTTGTAAGAGAACTGCTACTTGTAGGTCAGCAGCTGAATGTCCTGGAAGGTTAAAATGTTCCCCCCACTGGTTTTTGAACATTGTGGTTTCTAAAGTCAGACTTCTGTCCATTTATTCTTTGTCATATAGACTGGCCTGTCTGTCCAGTGTAGAGGGTGGAAGGGCATTGCTGATACGTGATGGCATAAATCACATCAGAGGATGAGCAGGAGTCGGAACCTGAGATGGTCTGGCTGGTGTTGCAGGCCTTGGTACCAGAGTCCATGTTACTGTTGCTTAACCTTGCGGGTGAAAAGTTGTTGAGTTCTGAGCTGTATGTGACCACCAGTGGTGTCCTGTTGTCATTTTCTTTGGGCTTCTTGTTCTCACCATATCAGGAGGACACTGTAGTTGCAAGAATGCCTGTTGTAGATCCTTCAAGTGAGTATCTCTGACTGAGGGGTTAGACCTGATGTGACTGTGTCGGGCTTGGCTACAGACATTGGATTGTTTGGTGTGGTTGGGATGGTTGCTGGAGGCTGACCTGTCACCTTCTGGTGTAGTGTGGTGCTTGTGTGTCCTGGCATGCTTTGACCCACCCCGATGCGTTCATTCTCCTTCCCTGCAGGGTCCTGGGGACACCAGCGGAGGCTGCCGGTGCAACGCAGATGGGCAGAGGTGCCACCCCAATTGTCAGAACTGCCACTGAGCACCTGCTGCCAGGAGAGAAAGACACAGCCCCCCCCCCGCCCGAACTACTGTGGGTGGGGCTTCGCTGGAGACTGAGGATCCTCCCTCCCTCCCAGGTCTTCCCACACTGGACTTTTTAACCCTGTAGTGGCTGACGAATGCATCCTCCATCCAGAGCTGGGGTGGAGGCTGATCTTCCCCCAAAGGGTGGCACCCCCACAAACAAGCGTCAGGGGCGGGTCAGTTCTCCCGGGCGCCCTTCCTCCCCCTTCCCTTTCTGCACCACCCTGATCTCATGCCAAGGGCACGGACGCCCCCAGCCCCTGGACAGAGAGAACAGGGGCCCAGGCAGGAGAGCGGGGCCGCGGAAGGGCTCGAGATGTACATTGCTGCACAGACGGGCGGAAGACCCATTCAATAAAGGTGTAAACACTGTGAATCTGCTGGAGCTGTTTTCGGGGACTGGGGGCAGGGTGCCGAGGGTCACCGTCCTCTCTCCCAGGCGCACCACCCTGCCTGCTCGCGGCTGGATTTCAAGACAGAGGCCGGTCTGGTTGAAGACATGTGTTTATTGGGCACCTGCCACCCCTGGGTTCCCAGGGTCCCTTCCCAAGGCTTCACGGGTGACTGCACGGATGGAGAGACGTTAAATAACAGAAACCGCACTGGAGAGGAGCGCCCGTCCGCCTGCCAGCCCGTACGTACATTCCCAGGGCGGCAGAGGCGGTGCCCCTCAGGCAGTAGAGGTCGGTCGGTCGGTCCAGGCCCCCTGGACAGGTCACTTGGGAGGCCGGAAGGCGATCTTCCTGCTCTTGAGGACTGACCACTTGTGCCGCTTCAAGTAATAAGTGAGGGGCAGCAGCAAGGACGCAATCAGCAGCATCTGGGGGGGGAGGGAGGGAGAGAAGGCATCAATCCCTCAGAAACAAACGGGGGAGGGGGGGGGGAGTCTTAAAAACAAATCCTCTGAGGAAAGAGCGAGAGAACAGGATGCATCTTTAACCTGGAAATGGGGAGACCCGGGGGTGGTGGTGGTGCTGTGTGATCTATTCTTCACTTTAAGGACCGTCACAAGGAAGGAGCCCAACCTGTATTCTGTGCTGCTCCCGGAACATTTAGGTTACAGGAGGGGAGAGAACCAGTTTGGGGGCTGGACAGGGGTTCTCGGGCCCCTGGGGGGTCCCCAACCTAGTTCCCACGGGGGCGGGGCTTCTGAGCTGCAAGCCTTCTGATTGGCCACCAGACATTTGATGGGCAGGGCAGATTTTTTTTGAAACGCTGCTTTGGCAGCAGCCATTTTATGGCCGGCTCCACACCCACTGTGCTTTGTTAGAATTCCAGAGGTGCCCGCAGGTTGAAAAAGCACGAGGACACCCTGTTGCTTGCGGGAGGCTAGCCGGCCCCTTCCAGCTGGACCCTGAGCCCCGCGAGGCCTTCTGAAGACAGAGGCAGACAGGACAGACTGACCTTGAGGCCCATCCGCTTGCGGTCGTCGTGTTCCGGCTCTGCTGCCCATCGCAAGAAGGTGCAGACGTCCTTGGCGATCTGTGACATGGTGGCCGGGGTCCCTGCAGGAAGCCAGAGCGCCAGAGGGGTCAGCCTGGGAGCGCAGCCCTCTTGGGGCGCATGCCCGAGAGCCCACCCTCAGCCTCAAGGAGAGGCCACGCCCTGCCCCCTTACCATCTTCAAATTCCAAGATCTCGTTGTAGATAGGTGGGGCCATACCAATAGCTTGCCCAGGGAAGAAGGGGTTGTAGTACAGCCCCTCCCGCATCGTCACCCCGGTGGGGGGATCGCAGTAGCCAGTGAGAAGGGAGAAGACGTAGTCCTCTCCGCCATGCCTGAAACAGAAGGATGCAGGAGAAGAGGAGATGGGATTTCTACCACCGCCCTTCAGTCTCAGAGCAGCTGACAATCTCCTTCCTCTCCCCACAACACACACCCTGTGAGGTAGGAGACGCTGGACCCTCTGCTGCTCCTGCTCAAAGCCGGCAATCTGCCCCCCTCCCTGGGCAGACAGTCCCTGTGCATGGGTGTCTCTGCTGCCCACGTTACCTAGCATTGACGATATAGCTGAGGTCCGGGGGGAGCGCCCCGTTATTAGCTGCCCTGGCTGCTTCAGGATTGGGGTAAGGCTTGGGAAAGTAATCGGAAAGCTTGCCGGGACGCATAAACATCTCGCCGTTTTCATCGGGTCCATCCTGCACCTCAATCTGCAGTGGAACGAGCCAATCTTGAGTGCAGGAGCTTCCCCAGCCCCGACCAACCAGATGAGCCACCCCCCCCCACCCGCTGGAGTGTGAATTGGTGTTCCCCATCATGTGGGCCCGAAAAGCAGGATTTGGTCTCGCAACCCCAACCCACCCCCCACTCGCTCCTCTGCACGAGGGCCTGGACGCCCCCCCCCCAACACTCTGGCGGAGAGGGCGAACGGCACGTACCTCTTCTGCTAAGGCCTTGGCTTCAGCTTCTGTGTGACTGACTCCCACCAGATTGCGGAAGGCCAGGTAGTCCATGCTGTGGCAAGCGGAACATACCTGCTTGTACACCTGATAGCCGCGCCGGACACTGGAAGCAAGGAGAGAATGGCCGTCAGCAAGGATAGGGGGTGGGCAACAGCCCTGGAGGGACACCGAAGCAGGCAATAAGGAAGCCTCCCGTGGGAGGGGAGGTGAAAAGGCTCTCCCTTCACAACACAAGCGAAGGATGCTCAGTCTGGCTTTCAACAGATAGCCATATAGCAGGAGAACAGGGATGGGAAGGCCCAGGAGGGAAAACATGGAAAGTTCAAAAAAGGGTTTTCCCTGCCCCCTCCTGCACTGGAAAAACTCCCATCCAAGTATATTATTTTGGAACCAGTGAAATACTTAAGAGGAGCACTTTCCACTCAAAACGGTCTGGGGACTTCTTCAATTTGTGCAGTACCAAAACTGGGAAATCTGGTGTGGCACTAAAACCCTAGGAATTCCTTTTTCCTTTTGATATAAGTTATATGTTTTTAATACTAGCTTTTACTCACAATGTATAGGATGAAAATTTACCCATAATACATTTTACGACTTTAGATAATTACTATGTATACAATACACAATGTTGTAAAGAACATAATTATTTAAATGTGACTATTTGCCACAATAAATATACAGTAATATGTATATCACATGTATGCTCACAATACGAGAGAGCTTCTGTCCAACTTACATACTTTCATTATAGAATTTCTTTTTCTGCCTTTAATTTTAATTTTTCCTACCCTTCAAGTGACAAAAATTATGATGCATGATGTCTCCAGGCAGCAGAGGGTACAGCAGTTTGCTACTCTCTCTCAAGTACCGGGTATCGCTGCATATTTTCTTACTGAAAATGAAGACACTTATGCACACTTTTAAGGACCACAAATATGCCAGGTTATAAATGATACATCTTATGTTGCTAAATCAGTCAAAGAAGTTCAGGTTTGATGGAAACATACAGCAAATGTTTCCCCCTAAATTTCTGGTTTTCTCCATGGCTTTAAATTTTCTAGTTATTTCACACCTCTGGAGGAGGGCCAGGGACCAGCAATGATGGTGAAATTCTTTGGCAGAGAACAAAAGAACACGACTGTAGTAACCCAGAGGGGTGAAGCCTGACCCCCCCCCCCCCCCCCCCAAAGAGAGGCAGGGCAGAAAGGAAAGGGCAGCCCATGGGTGTGTCCAGAGACAGGAGAGTTCCCTGGGCTGTGGCCTGCCTGTGGGAGGAGTCAAAGGTCATTCTGAGTTCTCTGCCTCTGAGATTGGGGAGGAGTTCTGTCCTCATTTGAGAAAACTCCACAGGGCTGAATGGGAACAAGGCAGAGGGACTCCACTGTGGTGGAGGCAGGTCTATGCTCTGGCACTGTCCTCTGCAAAAGGGAGAGCAAAGCTCCCCCCCCAGAAAAAACACACCTGCTGTGATCCAAGGCAGACAGCATACCACCGTGGCTCCAGGGGTAGTTGGGGGGGTGCAGCTCCAACTCCCCTGCACTCACTGCCGTGTGAAGGGCCAAGGCCAGGCCCGCTCCGCCGGCCGTCAACACACCCAAGGTGGTCAGGGCCACCTTCTTGCCCCGGGGGAGACGAGGCAGAGATGCCATGTTAGCCTGGAAGAAAAAGAGGACAGGATGTGATGCAAGGACCAGCAGGGAGGGGGACCCAAATACTGCCTGGTTCCCGGGGGAGGCCTTTGCCCAGGGTGGCTGAACCGACAGGAGCTCCCCCCCCACCCCACCAGGCCTCCAACTCGCCCACCATCAGAACCGGAAGTGAAGGAGCTGCTTGGTGCGGAGAGTGGCCCGACCACTTCCCCAGCAGCCCAAAGCGGAGCCAAGCCACAGAGGCCTCCCCTCCCTCACCCCTGCAGGACATGCCTCGCCTGGCCAGACTGACCGGGGGGGGGGGTGTCCAGAGGCAAGGGAGCCCCCCCGCCCCCCTCAGCTGTCTTCTCCCAGCACCTCAAACTCCCCATGGGGCTGCGGTGTCTTCCCAGCCCCACCGGGAAGCCCCCCCTCCCCTTGTCAAGTGTCCTCTGGGAGGAGCTCCCACGGGGATGCTGCACTCTGCCCCCACAGATCTTGCCCTCTGCAGCCCGGCCACCACCTGGCTCCACGGCCACGCCACTGGCATGTGTCAAACAAGGCCATGCCGGGTTGGGGGGGGGAGAGGGGCAAGGGCACTCCCCCCAGCCACCTGCCCTTCACCACCCAAGGGAGTCTCAGAGCAACTCCTTTCCCTCCCCCTCCCCACAACAGACATCCTCCTGTGAGGTAGGTGGGGCCGAGAGAGCTCTTGACAGAAACAGCTCTTTTCCAAGGACAGCCCTTGTCAGAACTATGGCTGGCCCAAGGTCATCCAGCCAGGTGCAAGTGGAAGAGTGGGGAATCAAACCCGGCTCTCCCAGATTAGAAGAAGAAGAAGAGGAAGAGATGAATTTGGCTGACAAACTTCTTTCCCTTCCCCTCCCCACAACAGACACCCTGGGAGGCAGGTGGGGCTGAGAGAACTCTTGACAGAAACGGCTCTTTTTCAAGAACGGCTCTGGCAGAACTATGGCTTGCCCAAGGTCATCCAGCCAGGTGCCAGTGGAGGAACGGGGGAATCAAACCCGGTTCTCCCACTACACTAGACTGGCTCCATTGGTGGAAGAAGAAGAGGAGGAGGAGACTGGATTTATCCCCCATGGCCCTTTACTACCCGAAGGGAGTCTCAGAGCGGCTGACAAACTCCTTTTCCCTCCCCCTCCCCACAACAGGCACCCTCCTGTGAGGGAGGCGGGGCTGAGAGAGCTCTTGACAGCAACGGCTCTTCTCAGAACTGTGGCTTGCCCAAGGTCATCCAGCAGCTGCAAGTGGAGGAGTGAGGACTCAGACCCGGTTCCTCCCAGATCAGGGTCCTCTGCGCCCTTAAGCCCTGCACCGAACTGGCAACTCCCCCCCCCCGCATATGCCCCGGAGTGGGGAGCGTGGGCGGCCGGGGGCGTGTGTGTGATTGTGTGTGTCCCCAGGGCCAGCCGGCGCTAAAAACGCCTGCCCGCTTCCGCCACGCCGGCGCGGTGCCGCAGGGCGACCCGGCTGAGGCGCTCACCCCGGTCCAAGGGCGCTCCGCGGCGGAGGGCGAGGGGATCCCTCCCGGGCGCCCCCCCCCCGCCTTCCCCCCCCCCCCCCCGGGCCCCCCCCGCCCAGCAGCCCCCCC